CCACCCACACCCTCCACCTGCCACCCACACACCACCCTCACACGCCACACACCACTCTCACCCACACACCAACCTCACACACCACCCACCACCCACCACCCACACACCAACCTCACACACCACCCACCACCCACACACCACCCTCACCCGCCCACCACCCACACACCAACCTCACCCGCCCACCACACGCCACCCTCTGATCCTCACCTGTAGACGTACGGGCCTCTCTGCTCCACCATGGGCTTCTCCCCGCGGAGAATCTCCTCAGGGTTCAGGATGTGGAAGAAGTAGACGGACATGAAGAAGGGCACAGGGATGTCCTTCCACATGGTGTAGGACATGCTGTTGCTGGGGTCGATCTGCACATTCTGGGGGCAACACAGAGTCCACAGCCATAAGGACGCAGGGACAGCAACTACCATTACACAGCTGTTTGATCCATTTCAGGTTTTCCTTGGTGCAGCGGTCTTTTGGTTCAAGCTCTACAGGCTGAACCAGGGAAGCAACACACAGTTTAGCAGAGCGAGCCTGGCCAGGCTAATTTACCGACACTAACAAACATGAAATCTCCTGCTTCTGGTGTTGACTTCAGGACCAGAGCCCTGCAGCGTACTGTCAAACCCGGAGTGGATCAGACTCATACACAGCACATAAAATCAAGTTTTATTTACAAACCAACACATCTACATCGAGCAGAACCGGTCATGACCAATTGTGGCAATGCAGGCGCTAATAAGATCAGTTCCAGGGCTCCTTTTTTTCCTGTAGAAGTTCTAACAATGTTGTCTTAGTCACATCTGTCTCACATATTGATCCCAAACGTACAGTAACATGAATCATCAAACATGCAGATTTCAAGATAATAGGAACAGCTCGTACTGCAAGATGCCTGCAAACAATAACTTACAAAACATACAGTGAGCAATGTCTTAGGATGTCACTATTTTAAACATGCAGAATTTTGAAATTACAAAATAATTTAAAAAACAGTTCTGCCTCACTCATAGAGGAGAACATTTAATAGTTCATATCATGAAAGCAAAGTAGCGGAAGGAACACAGTAACTATGATAGAGTTGTTTAGAACTAATGGGTCGCTGTCTGAATCTGAAAACTTACCTGATCCAGGAACAAAAAAACAGGGGACTCATGTTTCACCTGACTGTACAGTATGTCTCACTGTACAGCTCTGACTCAGGACAGCTCGATCACAAAATCGGCACACAGAGACAGAAAAATAAAGGATTACATATCTAAATAACAAAACATACAGATAGTTTCACTGCACTAAAACACACTTCACATTGCTTGTCTAAACATGAAAACAGTGTTCTATTAATTCTGAGATCTTTCGAATGTCCTTTTACAAGGTCTCGCATAAAATGCTCAAATCGAGTTGCAAAAAAACACTTAATTAAAAATGTAAATGTATAAAGGAAACAGCTAACAGGTAAAAATGAAATGTCAGACATATCTGCCAGGTCTGCTCAGTACTGTGGCTATTCCACGAATATTCAAGAGAGTCCAGGAATTACAGCACATAAATGGGGTATACCAAAATCAACCATTTTAAAATACACTGCAGAAGATGTCATGGTCTGGGCTCTAGAACTGGCTCAGGTGCTCTAGAGAGGAGCCTGGAGAGGTGATGGCATGGCCTGGGCTCTAGAACTAGCTCAGGTGCTCTAGAGAGGAGAGTGATGGCATGGCCTGGGCTCTAGAACTAGCTCAGGTGCTCTAGAGAGGAGCGTGATGGCATGGCCTGGGCTCTAGAACTGGCTCAGGTGCTCTAGAGAGGAGCGTGATGGCATGGCCTGGGCT